GGATCCTGTAAGCTTAGATGAAAACGGAATTTCTTATATACCATTCGACGCGTCGCGAGCTGTTCTACAAAACTGCATATTTGGTTTCTTGGTTCAAGGGGGATCACCAAATCCGCCAGGGTCCTTACAAAATAAAGAAATATTTGCTTCGCTCAATACAAATATTTTTTCCATTGCATACTATTTAATCGAACTAAAAAGGATTGAACACAGTGCTTTCTCTTAGTAGGAGTTCGACACATGTTTTTTGTCAAAATAAGAGTATTTTTTTTAAGCTTATGAATATCAGAAACATTTAGAAACATATTAGAAGAAAGAACAAAATACTGCTGTCAACTACAACAAGAATGACATATTCACACTTTCTTTCTGCTTTGTTTATCCTCTTATGTAAATATTGTTTAAAAGATCAGCGTTTAGCTTTTTTGATCATAAAAAAAGCATTTTCTTTTCGTTTGAAAGGGTACTTTTCTGCGTTAAGCTGGTAAACAAATGGGCAATCAAAACAGGTAACGACCTGACAATAATTTAAACCAAATAAAAAGGAAATTCATGTTGTAGGAAATCAGAAACATCTATGAGATCCTTGACTCCAGTTCTTCAAGGTCGACGGTCACGAAATACAGATTCAGCCGAATCTTCTTCCCCTCTTAAACACTATCATCCTGCTTACCCTCAACAGGACGAAGAAAACCTCGTAAGACCTATAATTACGTACACCATTGCCTCTCCGGTAAACAGCTCAAGTGCCACATTCGAAAGACCAAGGCAACCGTCATGGCTACATCAAAGTTTTCATCCTCAAATAAAGAACCTCGGACAATACCATCATCATCACCGCCACTGGCATCACTCAGATTACCTTCTTGCCATACGTCGACACAAATCTAACGAGGATAAACAAATGGGAGAAAAGTCGTTCGCTGACCAGTCCATGGAATATGAACAGCATCAACAGTATATGGTGTCAGGTGTAATCGTACAACGGATTAAATCAGATAGAAGTATATTGCTGACCCCGGACCAACAAGAAATGTTAAACGATTATGTGTCAGAATTTCGATGAAGTATAGTCTCATTTTACTGAAAACAACGGCATATGACAGCGTCTTTTTATGCATCGAGCAACGCAGCGAGCTAAATTACGACGCAGCCGCTAAAGCATCTAGATATTTAGTTGACCAAGTAGCCAGAGTAGTTCTGGTTGGACTTGAGAGATATAACTTTGGCTTATGACGAGCAATAAGCGCAGTGTAAAACAAAAACCGACAGGCAAAACAGCATGTATTTGGGGTACGAACGGGAGGATTTCATATATGAAATAACATTGCTAGGAACGTTACTAAAGCAATCGGATGTACCTTATCGATAACTTCTCTCCATTATTTCTCGTCATTAGTGATACCGGAATCTATAACAGACTTAGATTTTTTGGGTGTTTATATTTTTGAGGCTATAACATCACATCCATTCACATGACGCCAGGCTTCTAATGGGTCCCGCTTGAGTTATAATTCGCACAAAACCACTGCATGTTTTAAGCATTAAAGGCGCACTGACAGAGCGCATCTTTTTACCAAAGATTCCGCGTTTATTTCTCTGGTGTATCGAAGATGATCCTAAGATTTGAGACAGTGTCTTAATTGAACAAACATCGAAATGTCCTAAAAACCTAAAAAAGTAAAAGTTTTTTTAGATGATACTTTTGACGTTTGAACTCCATTTTGACAGTGATAGAAAGAAGATAGCACATCATTTCTTTGGACGCTTAGATGTCCTCTTTCAGATAGCGCAAGACTCATTTCGTCCCCATCGGTCTGATGTGGGAAAAGTGACTACCTAATAACTAGCAACCATTACTGAACAAAAATGCGCAAGTTTCAGCATCTCCATTATTCAGAAAAGTTCCATTAAGCGTTTCGCACGTGAGTCGAGTAGACCAAACATTTGTCTTCAAAAGGACGTAAGAATGTGCTTGACTGGTTCAGTTTTGTCTGAGCAATGTTCATTTTGCAATTGCCCCAAAATGCAGGTTGAAAAAGCTGAAAAAACGGTCAAGTTTTTAGGACTATTCAATGTTTGTTCAATTAAGACAGTGTGTAACGGAACGTTATGTATGAAGTGATGAATGAATGAAACGAGGATGAAATGAGAAAAAAAAGATTGAACTGAATTTACTAAATAAAAGGCACAAACTGATTACATTTGAATATTTTTTGGTTACTATCCAAAGTCATGGCGCTAACTTTTTTCTTCACTTTTTCGTGCCGTTACACAGTGTCTCAGATCTTAAGATCATCTTGAATACACCATTTTGTAGAGAAATGAATGCGGAATCTTTTGGTAATAAGATGAGCTCACTAAAAAGGAAGAGCATACCATAAGATGAGCTCACTAAAAAGGAAGAGCATACCTAATTAACAAAAAACAAAAAAAAAATACAAATGAAAAATTAAAATTAAAATACAGTCAGAAAATCGAGACTTGGGACCGAACCACGGTTTTTGAGAAAACATATAAAGAGAATGCTTAAAGTGTGTGGATTCAGTGTGTAGATTCAATACGTGTCATTTATCAAAACAAAAATGTTTATGATGTAATTAGTTTTCGTGTTTCGTGTATTTATTAATAGATCACGAAATGATTGATATTTACTTTTTTTCGTCCAGATTGTAGAACGAGATATATCCTGAAGCTTTTGCGGTAAACATACAGTTTGACAGAATTATGGCTTTTATAGTTGTATGTACAAAACTAAAATGTTCAGTTTACAAAAGTAAGAGAAAATTCTTTTTCATGCATAACATGCATTTTCCAGCCATTGAAAAGGCTTTTTCCCTCTACTTGTATGAGAAATAACATGCCGCTAGATGTAACTGTTCATGATCCAAACACATGTAAATCGCAGCATTTCGTAAATGAGTCAGAATTAAGATAAAGCCGGTAAGGAGGTTCTTTTCCACATCATCGCCACCTTTATCTTAATTTTTGCCCATTTTACCAGATGCTACATATGCTTGGATACAGCATGAACAGCTACACCTATTGGTATGTTATTTTCCATCCGTTCGTATTTGATGGAGAAAACTGCACAAACATCATGCATAAGCCTTTACTTTTTGAATTTTTTAAATGTCATACAAACGGTTGTCAAATTACACATAAGATATTAATTTTGTTCCCGATTCTTGTTTGGTGAATAATATTCTTAAAATCCAACGGCCGTACTCAGCTGGATTTGTTTCGCCAGCTTTTGTTAAATTAATAATACCATGTTCATCACTTGTATAAGTTTAAAAGTATAAGTATAAAAAAACAGAGTTTGGTTTTTTACATTTTGTGAAGAATCAACATAATATACGCACATATTCTTTTGGATAATTTGCCTCATTGTCAATTTCAAATTCAGCTTTTTGTTTATTGGTCTAGAAAAAAAGAATCGTATTATAGCTTTGTATAGATTTGAGAGTGAAAGAAATAAAATACTTACTAATTCTTTTGCATCTTTACTCAATGATAATAATTGTTCCCCAAATGATGTAAATTATGATGAGATGGAACTTGAGAATTTGTCTAATAAAGTTTGTGATATTGGTTTAAAATAATTGTTTGTACTTGAAATACTGCTACCATTAATTACTGAATCATATTTTACTGTTCGTCATTTTATATCTTCGCGTATAAATGGTGAATCATTTTCATCTGATTCTTCATCATCACGTTCCAGCGTACTGCGATGATGATGTTTACGTACTTTGACATCTAAATGAAAAGAAATTATTCATAAATGAAAGTCGTTTTTGTGCACGGAAGGATCGCTGAAACTATAGCAAGCACATACGTTTTATTTTGGTTGCTTTTTCCGAATAATCACCACTACTTTCACATTTATTTATTATGAACGAAGAACCTGTTGGTGTAATTGATGATGCCTCACGGTCACGTTGAACACTTCGTGTTTCTTCAATATATCAGACAAGTCATACTCTAAGATCGATACAACGAGAGAAAGCACTGGCACCAATTTATACATTTTTCTAGAACCGATGTATGTTCCACAATTCTTTTTGATCTAAACATGCCTTTGACAGAATTCTCCCGATTACGCCAAGCCTCTCTGTACATATTTAAGTTAGCCTGTAGCCATCGATAGAATCTGATAGTGCTGCCAAATATCTGTTCCACATGTTAAAAAGAGGAAAAAGTACAAACATCCAGGTAAACAGGGGTAGTGCGTAAGAGGCAAACAGTGCTCTTCTTAGAAAACAGATGCTGAGCTAGCGTAACGACAAGAATTAATCATGGTAGTACGCTGTCGAATTTTTATCATAATTTTTTTAATTAGTGTTCCCTAACCTAATTTAGAAGTTATAAAATAGCCTAAGTACTTAAACACATTCGCCCAATTTATATTAACATCTCCTACTGAAATGTAACATTTGGGAGCACCGATTGCTCTCGACGACCAGAGTGCTTCAGTTTTGGAAAGATTTACAGGCTGGACTGTTAATACAGCATAAAATTCGAGATTATCAAAACATAGTTTTAATCTCATCTCAAGATCGAGGCATTGCTCTGTATATCTGACCCTGATTCTACCGGCAAGCACTGCTGCCGGTTCATCGGCAAAGAAATAACTTACGCTAAAATTTAGAAAATCTCCCATATCAGCGTGGTACGTAATAAATAATGTTGCTGTAAAAATACAGCCTTTGCGGACCACCTCTCATAATCCAGAACCACCATGATTTCTGTGCGCCTATCTCGCTAAATGCTCTTCTATTTTCTAGCCAGGCTAATATTCATTTCCAAAACGATTTAGGGGATGCCCATCCTTCTTAATTTGCCAATACACCCTTCGAATCACAACTGGTCGAACGCTGATTTAAAATCAACAAAAATAGTTGCTACCCTAGTCATCGGTTCGTATATAAGAATCTTACTCAATTCTTATATAAGATCTTCCACGAAAGTGACAAGAATTCTGCTGAATCTTATAAGAATCGTATAAGAATCTCACAAGAATTCATAAGAAATTGGTAAGAGTCAGCAAAACTCGTACGTTATTCTTATCAGATTCTTATAAGATTCCAGGAAGATTCTTATGAGAAACACGATCGAATCTCCTACAACAAATCCCAGTATAGTACTGAAAAAAGTCCGACACTACCAGTGCGAACGGCATGCTATGTTGCACCGGTACGTGCTAGTTCTACATTTCTCCAGTCACCGCTTTGTTATCTACGACTGCACTATGTTTTACTCGGACTTTTCTCCGAGAACATAGTGCAATCAAATTTTAATACGAGCAGACAATGCTTTGATCTTGTTATAATCTTTATCTGAAAAGGAAAAATCAGTATAAACAGAGAGTCAGATAGTAAAGTTTAAAAGTAGTAAACACTTAAAAAGAAAGGGATTTCCGAAAGACTGATTTCACCGTGTTTTACCCGATTTTCTCTTCGGGAACATAATGCAATCAGGGTCAATCATTCACCTCAGACTCACTTTGAAGTTGAGATCAAACTTGTACACAGCAGTTTTATTAATACGATTTTGTCTAGATCCTTTCTGCTTGTCATAAGAACCATATTAATAGTTTTCTCTCATGTATTTCTCAATTATGGCTTGCCATATAACTGGCATTTGATCTCAGAATAAAAGTGAGAGTGATTAAATGTTTTATAACTGGTCTGTGAGTTTTACTGTAAGTAACGTATGCCATATGTGAAGAAAACATTCACGCCTGGACTTTCAGACAATGTATATCCGTAGATATTATCGCTAGGATCAGTTCGTTATTAGAACCTATCTAGTATTCTGCGAATGAGGCGGTACGAAAAACTTTTTTAGACTAGAAAATGAGACCTACGTAGATATCCATAAAAAGTGCTTTTTCCCCCTTGGGGATTTTGCTGTAGGAGATTCGATCGTGTTTCTCATAAGAATCTTCCTGGAATCTTATAAGAATCTGATAAGAATAACGTACGAGTTTTGCTGACTCTTACCAATTTCTTATGAATTCTTGTGAGATTCTTATACGATTCTTATAAGATTCAGCAGAATTCTTGTCACTTTCGTGGAAGATCTTATATAAGAATTGAGTAAGATTCTTATAAGATTTCACAAATTTGTTTTGCCTAGGATACAGGAGAGCTGTTCGATATGAGGGTAGATACTTGTTCTAGGAACAGCAGGACTCTAGTTTCGAAGCTGGCATTTGTCTTAACAAAACATTATAATCAAGTCGATAAGGAATATTGTAGTCTGATCACTTATCTTTGCACGACTGGTCTCTATTGCATTTTTCCTATGTTTGTTAAAACAATTTACTTTTCTTCTTTTCCTCTTAGAATTGTTATCAAAACAACCAAATTTTGTGACTTTTGATAGTTTTCGTAACTTGATTCCTCAAATTGCGTTCGTCTTAACGTTTCGATGCTTTGCATCTTCATCATTAGACACGATAAAAAGCTTGAGCAAATGCGTAGCGCTCAGGATAAGTGATGTTGCGCTTAATACGGGTTCGGTTGAGAAGGTTCAAAAGGTAGAATATATAGTTGGGCAGCAGGTTTTCGGAAGACTGGCGTATGAAAGCGGGTCCGGGGTGGGTCTTTAGAAAGGGTTACATCCATCTAGGTAGCCTACAGAGTTACTAGTCTCATAAGTCAGTCGAATGAGATGGTCTTTTATGTCCAATTTTTTCAGTATATCAACGAAGTCAAAAAGCAGTCGTTTAGTGGCCAGATAGATAACACCTCGAAATCTGACATAAATTTCTTTTTCGTCTAATTGCATCGCTAGACTGTCATGTTCCCGCTGCGTCACGTAAACACCGGCTAGTACTTGGGTCACTGTTGATCCTATCGCACCGCCTTCAATTTGCTGGTAAAACTTTGTCCCTAATGCAAAAAATGCATTCTGGAGTACGAAACGTTACAATCTAGCGATGGTGTCTATTGATATACCATCAACTATTCTGTTTCCTGTCTTTGAGCGAAGTCGATAAATAGTAGAAACTGATTCCGTCCAAGGATCATAGTGTACAGGTTGGTAATGTCAAAGGTGAATTATCTTGTCTGCGGAGTTGTCGTATAATCGTCCAAGCCGTCAAGAAAGTGAATGGAGTTTTCTAAAGCATAGTGCGAGGTCGTTTTGTTAAAAATGGGGCCGAGCATTTGATCAAGGTAAGCTGAAAGCTTGGCTATAGGACATTTGATTCTAGAGACGCTTGGAATATAGGTTGCAAGATTATAACTTGCAAAAAGTTATGCCCAATCAAAAAAATTTCGACTTGTCGGTTGGCTGGCTATATGATATGATATGTTAAACGAATTTATCACAAGTAGTTCAGTATCAAAATTTTGATCAGAACAAGTTCCGGATGGTATTAAATTAACTTATCGGTGTTCGTCATACAACCTCAACAAGTATCTCCTGCTCAAATATCTAGTTTATGAACATATTATCGTTCGCTGGCTCGTCCATCTATTTATAATTCAAAAACTCATGATCGCTGAGGACGAATATTACTACATATGAATCATACGATTTCAAACGATGTTATTCGCTCTCTTTCCAGATACAAAAATATTCGTTCTCTAAAAAGTGCGAATCGATTTTTTTTTGAATTCTTGTCCTGATTATACGGAGTAAAATCAGACATAATTTTCTTTCTGTACGAACACTGTATGATCTTTTTGATTAGGAAAAATGTTCAATTATGGAGTTCCTACTTGATTAAAAACGGTTTATAGATAGAATTACGTGGAAACGCGGACCCTGAATACCGGGACAGTCACTCTACCGTTCATACATAATTTGATTGGAGTGGTCCTAGTAATACTTACATACGAGGAAATACACGAATTCAAAATAAAACTAAAGTTTACGAAAACAAAAACCAATACGGCGCGGCCAGGTAACTCTACTACTGGGGTGAAATTCGGTGATGACATTTTCCTCTGTTTGAATTTTTTTTAACGAAAGCACATGCAGTGCATGTGCTTTTGTTAAAAAGATACAGAAAGAGCAAAATGTCAAAATTTCTTTACGGAATTTCACTCAGGTAGCAGAGTCATCTGGCCGCGCCGATTAGTGATTAGGTTGACATATGGTTAGTACAGAGATGGCTAGAAATGATGAAATTCGTACTTTCTGCGTCCAGAAATGAGGTTTTATACGAAATAACTGCTTCAAAAAAACTGCAGGATGATGCACGAGTGAAAAGTATAGAAAAAGTTTGTCTCTGAAGTTCCAGTTTTTTGCCAATTGTAGTCCTGAGCTTTGTGAACAGATTTTGTGGAAGATATAATTTCGACACATTCTAATGGTACTCATTATTTCAGCCTGTTTCGCCCGTTGTATTTCAATGTACCATAGTGCATTTTGTAGAGAAAAAGATATGCTAAAAATTGTTCATAGACCTTAGAAGTTCTAGAAACTTGGATTTATAGGTAACTTTGGAAAAAGTATCTGAAAATCGTATTTAAAAAAACAATTTTGAAGGTTTTACCATCTTTTTACAGCATTCTCGATTTTTCCCCGGAGTCTCACTTAATCTTCCTTTTTCTCTCTCTTCCCCATATTTTTCATAAGCTCATGCCATATAACTGAACTATCACGAACTCTATTCTTTTCTGAAAAAGTACGCTAAATTACAATACATATATGCACCAGGTAAGTTTTTAGTACGGGATTCGAACGCCCGTTCCATGATTTTTTTAACCTCTTGGGTAGGTGATTTGTAGGTTTTTGCACTTTCAAAAGAAATTTCAAATGCATTAACGTATTACTGGATGCTATTCATCGTCTGTTTGCTGATTGATTTAACGTCATTATTCAGTGTAAAACATGTGACAAGGAGACAGTGGCAAATAGAAGAATTGAGGAAAAAGAAGTCCTTTAGTAGGGTGTCGTACCAGGATTAATTAATGATGTGACAAGTTTGCAATCACAATCAACAGGAGCATCGCCAAGTAGAAAAAGCGGATCGATGGATGTAGTAGATAATGATACAGTTGATGTGATTATGAGTAATTATAAAGATAAATAGAATTGAGAGGTTATGTAACGGAAGAATGATAAACGTGCTCGCAGTAAAGAAATGTCTTTTGAAAGCCAACCTTTCACTGCCAGTGTGATGTTTCGAAATGTGACAGAAACTGAGTAGAAGTATGCCCTTTCTGGCACATTTCTTTCTATCGTTGTAGTCTAGATTTTTTCAGTCAAATATCTTGTTTATTGAAAAACCAAAGCTCTCTAATTACAAACAAAAGATAAAAGTGGTAGTATGGTTTTTTTACTTGGAGTATTTTTTTCTAACAAGCTTTCCAATTGTCCATTTCCAAAAATGTTCGAAAATCAACAATGGAAGTTGGATTATAAAGTCCATCAGCTGGTCCTTGGTTGGTTTGTGCTGTAACATCCAAATGGAGACCTGTGGAAAGTCCTGTCGTACCGATCATACCAACTTGAGTGCCTTTTTTAACCCTTGTACCAGCTAGAACAGCTACACTTCCTTGGGCCAAATGAAAATAAAAGACATACAATGGTTTATCACCAACAATATATTTGATTTTAACATAATTTCCGCCTTGTGCGCATGTGTAAGCACCACCAACGACTTGTCCATCACAAGCTTCAACAACATCACCATCACCCATCGCAACGACGCCGACACTTGCTGGCGTGCAATTAATATCCACTCCAGCATGTGAATATCTGGCCTGGATGCTGCGTCTGATACAACAATTGTCGTAGGGGACAGGTGGTTGAAATGCATCTTGTAATGGACCACGACGCCCACGAAATAACGATGAATGTCCAGCATGAGCATGATGAC